TCAACTAGAATTTTTGAAATATATAACTTAGAAGTGGGTGTATCCATGTTTTACAACAACAGAGGGGATAAATTTTAAGAAAAAAACGCCAATAATTATTTCAATGGGTTGTAACTCTGAAAATAATTTAAACTCATAGTTGATCCTCTGTACAGAGGTCTGATCTATATACAAGCAAAATATTTATATAATAGAAGCATTTTTCGCAAAAGGAGAATATTTTGAAAATGGGTCATTCTATGTTCATTTTTTGTCGAAATATTGTACTTAAATAATCTGTTGTTGTAATACTGTTCTTAAAACAATTTTATATACATTTTCTAATCTAAGTGACACTAAATATTAGAAATATTATCCATTTATACGCTTTTGCAAAATCACGGTTCCGAACGTAGTCGGATACTTTAAGCATTACTCACTTTCACGATAAGTTTGAAACTGATGAAGCAATAAAGGATATGCATAAGGGACGATCAGGCCTGCCATGCACATCAGCAAGCTAATTGTCTTTTGTTTCAGTATTAAATTTATTCACAATTTCGCCAGAAACCTCGACATCACAATGTGCACGTGAAACAGGTGTGATCAAGTCTATCGTATTTCATATTGCGGAAAGAGCTAAATGAAAACTTTACATACCACAATTGCTACACGCCCTGCACGTGAACTACACCGATGGAAGAACTTAGTTTTGTAAAAGGCACCTCGCGCAGTTTGAGAATGGTGCAAATTTTGTTTCCCATGAGATGTGGTCTCTTTTTCTTGCGGGATTATCTCTAGAACAGGGTGTACAGCCAGAAACTGTGCACACTAAAGAAACTGCGCCATGAAATTGAAATGATTAGTCACGTAATTCCGGTAGCTACTTTGAGAGATGTCACCAACAATGTAAGTCATCTCGCTAAAAATGTTAGGAAATGGATGGATTATGTACTGAATGACGCTACTATATATAACTAGAATTAACTCTACCACTCTCTAATAACAAATAACAACTTTATTTGCAACTTCTAACTACT